CCCCAAAACCCCAAAACCCCATAAGTCAAATATTGTAAATTAGTGATGAAATTAAAATTAACTAAAAAACTTATCAGCAAATTGTCTTCATTAGCTCATGAATAGGGATGGCCATATACTTGAGATTACCTTACTAGATTTATTAATCTTTTGGTAAATTTTGCTTCTTATTGGCGAAGTAGTTCATTTTTCATTGAAGCGTTAAGAGAAAAGCTCTCTTTTTGCAAGTTCACTCTTTTTCTCCTTTTTTACTTCAACTTATTGATCTATGTTTGCAATTCTGGCTAGATATCTTGATTGTAAAAGGACACTTCTTATGATGTTGGACTATTTACCTGTGTTGGGGCTTATGAATTAGTATCCTAAAATGATATGAAATTGTTATCAAAGGTTTTCCGATGAAAATTTACTGAGGAAACCTAGCCACTCATTGGTCTTCGACGTTAAATTTCTTTTATTATGTTTTTAGGAGAAATAATATCCTTGCTTGTGGGAAGAGCCTGTTAAATCTATCTTCGATTGTCCTCCACAGATTGTAAGAATTATTTTGTCTTGTTATTGATTTCTCTTTCTTTCTTAATTTAAGAGTAATTCATAGCTTCTCTCTCTCTTTCAAATAGTTAGGATGATTATGGTCTTTTCTTATTTTAACTTATCAGATTCTTAAGAGAAGAATTTCGGGTGGCTCTTATCTAAATTATAGATTTTCTTTTGCTTTATGGTAAAATGATTCTCGAAGGAGAAAGATTTAAGCTTAGCATTTCATATTTGTGTTACTAGAATGACTTTAAACGATTTTGTGGCTCATTTTTAGTTAAATCTTCATTGAATTTTTCTGTTTCAATTTTTTATTGAATTCCATTAAAAAGTTTTTATTGCAAAAAAGTGGTTACAATTGCTTCTTTTTTAGGCGATAAAATTTCTTGAATATCGTAGTTTGATGAACTAGGAAATCCTAGTATTTTTTGCATTTTTCTCTTTGCTACCTGGCCAAATAAATCTGATCCCCTTTTTGCTGGTCTTCTCTCTTTTGGACTTTTACTTTTATTTTTATGAGATGGCTCTGAATCTGATTCTGTATTAATCGAATCTTTAGCGAAAATCTCTTTGAGATGACTTTGTTTTTTATTTCAAAATATTCTAGTTTGTCTACCCTTGCTGTTAAAACTAAGATTTTTGTTAATATACTACTGCTAATGCTTCTTAGTGACTTATTTCTTGAAAATTTGGCCAAACGAAAGAAAACTTAGATTGTTATTTTCTGTATCTTGTTTCAAATCATCATCAAAGTTACTTATTTCTGATCTCTTATCCATTGAGGAGCTGTTACTTGAGCTCTTATTTGATTCTGTTGAAGTTATCTTTGAACTTTTAATTGAGTTAAGTTCTAATTAAGAAAATCTCTTTCCACGTCCAGATCTATTATTATCTGATCTCTCTTCTTTTTTAAAAGGCTAAACTAATGGATCGATTTTTATGTTAAGAAGCTTCGTTCTCTTCTTGCCAAATAACTTTCTGCTAGCAGTAATTGCTTCTGGTTCAAATGCCTAAACTGTAATAGCTATGCTTCCTCTAACTGTGCGAGATTTCCCTAATGTAGGCTAGGTTTTCAAAATCTCTTACATCAATGGAGTAATTGGACTTTAGTTTTAAGTAGGATTTTGAAGATCTCCTCCTCCTCCTTTAATTTTATGCTTGGATAGCATTCTTCTAGGAAATCGGGCATTGGCACTTGGTTTGCGTGTATTACTTGAACCCCGTTTCTTTCCAAAAAGTCCTTATTATGCTACCCTCTTTTGGTACTTCTTAACGGTCTTCATTAGTTTCTTAAACACTATACCATCCTAATTATCTGTAATTAAGTTAGTAAGATACGTCCAGCATTTGGATTTTTTCATCCGCTCCTCTTCATAACAATCATTTTCATCATCTTTTGTAATCAGTCTTTTAATCATTTCTTGATGTAAGCTGCTTAGTGGAATTGGCTAGTCATTTTTGGGGGTTACCGGATCAGTTAACAACTTTAGTTCTTTTCTGCTGACATAGGGTTTGTAGAAGTAGATTATTTTCTTCATTCAAATTTCTTTATCTAAGGTATTGTCTAGTTTTACTATAGGAGAATGCCTCACTTATTCTTTCGAAATATCTAGCTCAGATATCCTTACCCGAGATTTAGTTTTCAGTATAAAGCTTCTTTGGTTATGATTGCTTGTAAAGCTTTTCGGACTCAATATTTTCATGCTAGCTCTTTTTTTATAGCTTGCAGGTCCAGGACTTTATAATAAGTCATCGTTCCTAAATAAATTCTAGAAATTTGTATTCTTAATATAGTTATTTTAGCGACTATAGGATGGAGTCTGGGGTTGACTTTATTTAGAGAAAGTATTTTTTCTAATTAAAATGCCTTATGGAGACAGCAAGATGTTATTTTATCTCATTATGATTTTTAATTATTTCTAGAACTGATTGCTAAAATCATATCATATTTCAATAAGTTACTCATGGGGTTTTGGGGTTTTGGGGTTTTGGGG